AAAAAAAAAAGCGGGACGGGAAAAAAAAAAAAAAAAAAAAAAAAAAAAAGAATGGACAGAATTGATTAGCTTGGTGAGGATATTGAACCTGAGTCAGAGCATTGTCATCAGCTACAGGTAAGATTTACTGGAGAGGTGGTGATTAAAACTACTCACAGAAATTGGTACAACTTCTGTGAAGAGTTATTTGTCTATGTTTATAAAAAAAATTTAAATCATATAACCTTTGACCCAGTAAGTTCACTTGTAGGATTTTATCTTGTTACTGGCAGATTTGCAAATTACATGCGTATAAGGATTATTTGTTGAAGTATGTCTATAATGGTAAAGATTAGAAGCAACCTACATGTTCATTAATAGAGCACCAGTTGAATAAATTGTGATCTATTCATATAGTGGATTACTATGTAGTCATCAAAAAAGAATAAGGCAGCTCTTTACGTGTGGGTTTGGAATAATGTCTAAGATAAAGTATTAGGTAAAAAAAAAAAAAAAAAAAAAGCAGTTGCATCATAGTCCATAGTTTACTGTTTCATTAAAAAAAAAAAATCTTCCAAAAGGTTTCTGCCATGAAAGAAAAAAATTGTTTTGATGGCAGCCCTCAGATTATGCATGAAAAAGGTTGTGAGTTGGTGGCAGGATAGAGTGGGGGTGGACGATGGCTCTGAAACATGAAGGCCGCCAGTTCACATTGAAGGTGTAGTCAGGGATCATGTAGGTTTGGTTCACGTTGTGAAAGAAGAGTAGAAGAAATTGGTTACTGAACGTGCAGAGTTGTTGAAAGGTTGACAAACTGCTTCTGAGGTATTTTACTTAGTAGATAACAGTTACTTTATTGAGTTGTCCATTGTGATGAGGAAAGCTAAGCCTAGTAAGGTGGAAAGGGCAGAGGGTGAAGAGAACTCTTGATAAGTAGTTCTGTCCTCACTATGATTAACTTGACTTGGGTTGATTTCTTTATTGCCCCTTTCCCAAAGGAATTGTCAGGTATTCTCCCACAATGTATTTCCCTGTAATTTAAATGTTAAAAAATGAAGATGAAGTGGAGGAGAGTGAGGTGTTTTTTTTTTTTTTTTTATAAATTAACTGAATTTTAGTGTCTAGTAGAAAAGTAATTGGGATTACTGTGGGACCTGTCAGTCAACTGGCAGTTTTTTAGTGCTTGTTATATGTGAAGTCTGTAGTTAGACACAAGCATGTCCTCTGACCTCCAGAAACTTGTGGTCTGGTTGGGGAGAGGTACAGACTGTCAACTAATAACATGAAGCATCATCATTCAAGTGCTAGAAGAATATGGCAAAGACAGGTCAGAGAGGAGAGAGATCACTGTGGGCTGAGCCAGTCAGCTCAGGCTTATGGAAGAAGGATTTGAGCTGAGGTTTGAAAATTCAATCACAGGAAAAGAGCTGGGGAAGAAATTCCAGATAGGGGACATACTGTATGAGTGAAAGCATGAAAAGATGAATCTGTACAGGGCAACTGTTGGAGGACTGGGAGATTTATCCTGCCCAACAAGAGGGTTTATGTAAGGAAATAATAGGCCGTACAGGTGGAACAGTGGTTTAAGTGGAATTGCAGAATTTGGGCTTGATCTTGTAGGCATTGGAAAGGCATTGAAAACATTTCAGAGATTGGTAATGATATTCAGGATGGGTTAATGAGACCTAAAGCCAGTTAGAATTGTAGTAGAGGTGCAGGTTGGTTAACCTTCAGTGACACCTGCATCACCATGGAGTCAGGTGCTTTCCACCTGTGGCCTGTCTGTCTCAGAATGTTAGCTTGCACCCTCAGGCATGTCTCTTCATGGTCGCAGTGATGGTTGCCACTGCTTCAAACAGCCCTCCGTCTAAACGGCAGTTTTTCTTCCTACTTCTCATCAAGAAGGAAAACCTTTCACAGAAGCTTTCTGAAGGAATTCTCCTTACCATTAATTGGCCAGAATTGTGTTGTCACATGCACATACCTAAAGTGATCACTCTTTCCAGAGTGGAATTACCATGATTGTTTTAGGCCAGTGGTCCTTAACCCAGCTTGCAATGTAAGAAACGTTTTGGGAGCTCTTTAAAAAAAACTGCTGGGGCCAGGTACTTTTTTTTAGAGATCCCTAGGTGAGGTTATTCCACTGTACAACCAGTATTAAAACCACTGGCTTAACCTAATCAGAATTTAGCACCACCCACCACCCCCAGGGCAGGAGGGCTTCATTCTCTAAGAACATAAGACATTGAATATCTGAACAAAATTGGGAGATAGTAATAAAGGGGATGGGGCAATAAGAATGGAAAGCAATAGGTAGATGTAAAAGATGTTCTAAACACAGGATTTGCAAAGCTCTGTAGTATGGAGGACAAGGACAGAAATGACACCATTAGGTTTGATCTTAGTTGACAAGGATGACTGTTGAGGTAGGAGAAAGGAATATCTTTATCTGGCCCAGTGGAAAAGTGACTTCTGGTTTATACTGATGCTTTGAAAGATGGGTGATGGCAGAGAGGCAATAGCATGGAGTGACTAAAGCTCCATGCTCTGGAGTCAGAATGCCTGGGTTGGGTTCATATTCTTGTTCTGTCATTACCAGGACAAATGAATTACTTTGTCTTTTGGCATCTAATGGGATATTAATAGTAGCTACCTCTTGGGGATCTTGGAGAATGAAATTAGAAAATGCCTGAGGTGCTCCTAGCATGGTATCTGGCACGTATTTTAACCAACCTACCTCTCTCTCGCTATCGCTCCATATTCACTGTCATATTACTACTTATTAAGAGGTCTTCATTTGTTAAATATGTGTTACTTCTTATCTTATAAATTATCCCAAGGTAATTTATATCCGTTTTTATCTGTATGTACATTATAACCTATGTGTATCTAGTATGTAGCTATATGGGCTTGGGGACAGACCCATCTACAGATATCGTCCATATATTTGTCTTCATTCACTGATTTTTGATTGAGCCCCACCTTTTTACTGGGCACTCTGCTAGCTCCAGGCAATATAGTGAAGATCTACTCTCTGCCTTCAAGGAATTTAGAGAACAGTTTTAAATCTAGTGCATTATATCATTTTTACTTTTTAAGATCCTGAGTACCATGAGTAAGAATTGCCACATTTGAAATGCTCTGTTGAGCTTTTTTTAGCCATTTGGTTCTATTTAAATATTAGTAATGAGAATAGTTTGCCTTTTTGCTGTATTATAAAGGGATATTCTATTTTCTTTTTTCCTTTTTAAATTTTCATTATTTTTTTCACTGTACATTTTTATGGGGTACAGTTTATTGTTTCAGTATATGCATGTATTGTATAATGATCTAATCAGAATAGTTAGTATATATAGGGATATTTTATTATGTGTGTTTATTAAAAATATATCCATATATACTGTTTGCATATCTCTGGTTAAGAATCAGCATAGAGGCAAACTTATTTTTTGATTATGTTGATGTTTTTGTTATTTTGATGGTTGTCATTAGAAAATTTTCAAGAACTTTAAAAATATGTGGAAGTGGCAAATCATTGGCAGTTACCTATCTCTCTGCTTATATTTATGTCTCTGTAATTGTATAATGTATTAATCTTGACTTTTGTTTCATTTAGATTTTGATGCATACAAAAGAGATGGTACAGAAGGTAATGTTGAGCATTTTCATTATATAACACCTCTTAAATATCATATCTGGTGGCATTTTTGTATTCGAGGAAAATTTTAACACAAATAGACTGGAAATTGCTTCTTAGGATGCCTAGTTTACATTTATAATCCCTGCTAATGGATTACAGCTTGTTTCTTTTACCAACACTGATATGATCTAGCCCCTGCTTGAAGCCTGTATGTGAGTGTTTCAAGCAAATTAGTAACAGTGCTAATTAGAGTTTATTTCCAGGCCTTTATACTGTATGTGCTCTAGTGTTGTTTGTTATGATTGATTTTTTTGGCAGTGTTCATTTTCTACTAAATACTGTTTGAAACTGTTAAGAATTTAATATGGATTTGTGCACCCTGAATTTTTAAAATCTATTATGTTTCTGCTTCTTAAATTGCCATGACCACTAAGCATGTGGCATAGTGGATAAATATAGACCCCAATTCCTAGTCTCTTATTATCCTTTTTCTCATTATTTAATTTCATGTTTTATTTCAGTGAATCTAGACACAATTCCCCTTCCACTCCAGTCTATGTTTGTTTTAAGAAAATTTGGTTGATTTTCTTAATATTTTGGTACTTGTCTTTCTGGTTTATAGAGCTCTGCTCAGTCTTCAATTGTACGCCCTGGCAATATGGATAATAAAAACTTTTGAAAAAGTCAGTGGAACCTGTAATTTCTGTAGTATGGAAAATCCTTAGTTTCACTGTGTCTAGTGGTCACCGTGTTTTTGTTGTTAATTTTATAATTTTTGCTTTTCATTAGATGAATCTTGAAGTTATTTATGGAGATACAGATTCAATTATGATAAACACCAATAGCACCAATCTGGAAGAAGTATTTAAATTGGGAAACAAGGTGAGATAATTTGATAAAATTATCTGTTTTACCTATTTTTGTGAATTCTGTTTTTTACATGGAACATCATAAATTTATGTACAAGGAAACTTCAAAAAATTTGTGGATAGACTGAGTTCCTGTAAGTTTGAAAAAAAAAACTTTCTGGAAAATAGAATAAAAGATAATATGAATCTTTCCATGAACTTTTTGAGGTCCCCTCATATATGTGCATGCGTGTGCCTCTCAATTCTTCATTCTTTTTTATTTTTCTTAACCTTTCCAGTTGTTTGTTTTGAGGGTTAAATTCAAAGGTAATTGTTTTGTCCTTAAATGATAAATAACATTTTTCCTTTGAGAACAATCTAATTGTTGTAAGTTTTAGATGTGGTCATGTTAGTACTTACCACATTGTCATTCATAAGGAAATACATGTATGGTAGTATTCAGATGCATCTTATACATAGATTTGGATAAATACCTATCTACCTACCTACATACATACTCACATCTGATTTTTACAGGAGTACTTAAAATACATTTAAAATATATTTGAGGACATTTAAAAATAATCCTTTGTAGCCTCTTAATAGCAATTCACAATTAACAAGTGTTTCTTGAGCACTTGCTATGTTAAGATATGTCCCAATAAACTGAAACTAAGATATCATCTTATATCTTTCCCTCCTGAAATGTGTACTCTCTTCACCTGAGAGCAAGCCTGGCATATTATACTCCTGCTGGACCTTGAAAAGCCATGTATTTTTCATAGAGGTGATGGTCTGTGCTTTGAGTAAAGAGCAGGGGACTATTCACTTATTTGTTCAGCATATAGTATTTGCTTATATGCAAGGTGCTAAGGGAGATCTTAGGGTTTTTTTTTTTTTTTCCTTTTTTTTTTTTTTTTTTTGTAATTCTAGTGGGTATTAAAGTGGGATCTCATTATGGTTTTACTTTTAATTTCTTTAATGCAAATTTGATGATTTTTCAACACCAATGATATTGAACTCTCTCTTTCTTTCTTAATAGACTTTATTTTTACAGCAGTATCTCATTATGGTTTTACTTTTAATTTCTTTAATGCAAATTTGATGATTTTTCAACACCAATGATATTGAACTCTCTCTTTCTTTCTTAATAGACTTTATTTTTACAGCAGTTTTAGGTTTACAGAGAAGTTGGGCAGAAAGTATAGATAGTTCTCCCCCCCCACAAGCACAGTTTCTCCTATTATTATCATGTTACATTAGTGTGGTACATTTGTTGCTATTATGAACCAATATTGATACATTGATACACTATTATCAAGTAAAGTTTACATTAGGGTTTCCTCTTTGTGTTGTACAGTTCTATGGGTTTTGCCAAATGCATAATGTTATGTATTCAGTGTTACAGTATCATATAAAATAGTTCCAATGCCCCAGAAATCCTCTGTGCTCCATCTATTCATCCCTCTCTCACTCCTCCCCTGAAATCCTGGCAGCCACTGATTTTTTTTTTCCCATTACCTCTAACATTTGTTTTTTGCCTTTTTTTTTAAAAAAAAAAAAAAAGATGACCGGTAAGGGGATCTTAACCCTTGACTTGGTGGTGTCAGCACCACGCTCAGCCATTGAGCAAACCGGCCATCCCTATGTGGGATCCGAACCCGTGGCCTTGGTGTTATCAGCACCGCACTCTCCCGAGTGAGCCACGGGCCGGCCCAACATTTGTTTTTTGCATTGGGAACATTCAAAATCCTCTTCTAGCTAATTGAAAGTATACAATAAATTGTTGTTAATTGTAGTCACCCTACAGTGCTACAGAACACTAGATATTATTCCTCCTATCTAGCTGTACTTTTGTATCTGTTATCCAACTTCTCACTATTCCCCCTTCTCCCTACTATTTCTAGCCTCCAGTAACTGCCATTCTACTCTCTACTTCTATGTGATCAACTTTCTTAGCTTCCACATCTAAGTGGGAACATGCAGTATTTCTTTTTCTGTTCCTGGCTTACTTCACTTTACATAATTTCCTCCAAGCTCATCTATGTTGCAGCAAATGACAGGATTTTGTTCTCTTTTATGGCTGCATAGTATTCTATTGTGTATATATACCACATTTTATTTATCTTAGACATTATTTTAATAGTCAAAGTTTTACTTATTTATTTCTGGCCACTTATCTACTTGTTGGACTAATAACTAACTAATTAAGTAGTTTGAAGGCAAGTACTTATGTATTAAGGCTTTAGATTTAAAGAAGACTGTTTCATAATTTTCCATAAATTTCCTGGGGCTGATTCAGCCAGTCCTATCCTTTGTTTAAGCAGGTTGATGTGTTTTTATTATTATGTCTCTACTTTTTAAATCTGTTTTTGTCCCTGTGTTTTTCTTTTTTTTTTTTTTAAAAGATGACCGGTAAGGGGATCTTAACCCTTGACTTGGTGTTGTCAGCACCACGCTCAGCCAGTGAGCGAACCGGCCATCCCTATATGGGATCTGAACCCGGGGCCTTGGTGTTATCAGCACCGCACTCTCCCGAGTGAGCCACCGGGCCGGCCCAGTCCCTGTGTTTTTCAATGTCTGTGTATTGTACCCAACATAATATCATATTACATATAAGCTCAGTAAATGAATTCTAATTTCATATGACTTCAAGTTCTGTTTAGATGAACTCTTGGGAATTTGTAACATGTTTATCTTCTCCCTGTTAGGTGTTTGAGAAGCTAGTGTTAATGATTGAAATTTTCACAGGTCAAAAGTGAAGTGAATAAGTTGTACAAACTGCTTGAAATAGACATTGATGGTATTTTCAAGTCTCTACTACTGCTGAAGAAAAAGAAATATGCTGCTCTGGTTGTTGAGCCAACGTCAGATGGGAATTATGTCACCAAACAGGAGCTGAAAGGATTAGATATAGTTAGAAGAGATTGGTGTGATCTTGCTAAAGACACTGGAAAGTGAGTTCAGCTTTCGGTTTTGCTTTTGTTGTTTGTCTATTAAAAATTCAAGTGTTAATAACATGGAGAACACCTGTGAGTCTGCCAAGCACAAGAACACAATTTCTTTTTTTATTTTTATTATTAGTATTATTATTGCATATTAACAGTTCTTATTTGTAGTGGAATTTACAGGTAGATTAAAACTTAGGAAAAGCCAAATTTGCTCAGTAAGAAGTGCTTGCTGTAAGATACATCTCATGAGTTTTAACTAATGATGAGAGTACACTTTCACACTTTAGATCCTTACAGAGGTTGGTTTTGTTGATGTTTGTTTATTTTGCTTTAATGTTCCTATTAAAAAGTGCCTTGTTTTGTGCTCCTTCATCTTCCTAGAGCCTCATTAGAAACACCATTGTTAAGATTTCCCCATTTTGTGGCTTAACATATTCTGAAATTCAAAGTGGGCCATGGAGTGAGACTTTGTTCCCACCCTTATCATTTATATGTAAAAGATTCTTACCTATCAGGCTAATTTAAGAGCTAGGTCTCAAATACTGTGTGTACCTCAAAAATTGTAAATGTTATGAATGACCCTCTAACTTGGCACCTAAGACTGAAGATTGTGATAATAATACCTGTGGGTTCCCCCCCCCCCCCCCGGGGTTTTTTA